CGATTGAAAGACCAAGGAGGACTGCACTGCTGAGTGTTCTCGAAGGTTGGGTTCAGGCTGATGCTGAAGAGGAGATTGGGACAGGTGAGGAGATTGTGCTGGCCCCTCGGACAGACAAGGCTGGGCAGAGTTCAGCAGAAGACTCAGAGGATGCCGCTCCGCGGAGGCAACGGGATACCTAGACTCTTATGAACTTTTGTGATTTTTCCTTGTTTTGCCTTTCGTTTGGGACTTTGGATTTATCTTTTGATGTATGCTTTACACTTTCTTTAGTTATTTTTGGACTCTCTTGCTTGATTCTGGATTATTATTTGACTTTGTCATTAGGCGTTTTGAACTTTCCAAGCATTTGCCAACTTTTATTTATTTAGGCTCTAATTTTTGCCTAAGCCGCCCTTTCGGGTTTTCAGCTTAGCGAGCTACCCCCTTTTGCTTAAGCCGCCCTTTCGGGTTTTCAACTTAGCGGTTCTTTCTTTTCTCTTTTTTTTTTTTATTCGGCAAAGAAGAATGAAATTTGAAATGTGTTTTTTTTATTAATGCTTAGACCGCGCCCAAAGAGGGCTGCCTACATATCAATGAGGGCTTGCCTACATATCTCCGATAGTATAAATTCTTTTTTTCCAAAGAAAATCAAGGTCCTAAATGTAGTTCGTGTTTACATTATGCAAGATGATTAAATTCACACCAAATATCTTTTTTAACTTTGATCTAAATTACATGGATTTAGTGTGATTCCAAGCCATCCAGAAATCAGTCTAAAATAACGGCTCCGCCTGACAAGATTCTTCTTCAACACATAGGTCCAGCCCAATGGGACGAACTCCCCCGTGGATCTAATGACCGGTTTGTCTAATTTGCCTTCAGACCAAACAACCTTCCCTTCAGTTTTCGGTTTTGACCTTCTTGTTTAAAATGTCCTTGCCATTCTTCTTTGAATAAGACTTGAGTTTTTGGTGGATTGCTCGCAATCGTTTTTCAATCCATAACCCAAAAAGTTGGGCAATGATAATTTCTCAGCCCATCGCTTCGTTGATCTGGCTTTCCCGGAGTTAACCCTTGCTGATTGACTGAACTTCCCAGCTCAATAGCAACACTGCTTTCCATTCCATACACAGGGAGACGGGGGTTGCCCCAGTAAAGGCATTCTGATTGAAAGTCCTGTATCCCCATAGGCGTTCGTAAACTGTTCGTGCCCAAGCTTTATGCCTCTGAATCGTCTTTTTGCAAAATGACTTTTATAGCCTTGTTTCCGCGGCTTCGACGGCCCTCCATTTGTTTTGTGGGCGATAGGGTGAGGACTTATGGTGGCTGAAGTAGCAAATTCATTGTAGCACAGTCAAATTTACTGTAGCAAAGTCAACCAACAGGCTTTTTGAGCCTCAAAATTTGAGTATTCACAATACCGACAAAGGATGCTGGTACGTACAAACTGTGTTGCCTTCTTGGCGTTTAACATTGAAAAGGAAACTGCCTCAATCCATTTAGTGAAATAATCTACAGCGACCAGGATAAACTGGTGGCCATTAGAGGCTTTCGGGTGGATCTTTCCAACTACATCTATGCCCCAAGTTGCAAAAGGCCACGGTGAAGCAATTGGATTCAAATGGATCGGAGGCCGTTTTTGCAGCTTAGCAAAAATTTGGCACTCATGGCACTTACGCGCATGCCTCACACAATCCGAATTCATAGTTGACCAGTAATAAGACCAGTAATAACCTTGTTCATGATTTCCCCGAGCCAAGGCCTACCGTGCATGTGGTGGCACAGATCCCATTATGTAAGGAATCCATAATGGCTTTTGAGCTTCTCTTCATCAGCAACCTTAGGTGGCAGGCCATTCCAAACTTTTCTTATACCAGAATTCCAACACCGGTAAGGGAAATATCCAGATGCTACTGTCTCAAAATGTTTCGTTGATGCAGCCTTTTTGGACCCCTCCGGGTGGCTTCCATTCTGAAGATAGTTCTGTATATCCCAAACCACGGCTTGTCATCGACTAGAATGCATGACATGTGCTGGTTGTTCTGTATGCCCTGACTGTCAGAGGTCGAATGACTTGGGCATCAGCGAATTGATTTTGCCTCGCGGCAGGTAGTGGAAAGAATAATTCCTCAAAACTGTTGAGCATATTCAATCTAAGGCGTTGTAGGTAAGGAACCAAACGCTCTTGCCTTGATTTTCCACTTCTAGAGGGCCTGGGAGACTATCAGGTTGGGAATGCTCCCGAAAACCTGAGGACTTTTATCTCTTTTTCCAAGGCTGCTTCTAACCCCCCTTGATACAGGCTTCGTATTCGGCCTCATTATTGGTACAGTCAAAGTCTAGTTTAACTGCAATTGGGACGTATTCTCCACAAGGAGTTTTGAATACAACTCCAATCCCATTTCCATGGTAATTCGAGGCTCCATCGAAGTACATCTCCCAGACCTGATTTTCCAGGTGCAACAGGTTTTCGTCGGGGAATTCTACCTTCGGCATTTGATCTTCGACCGGTAATTCGGCTAACTGGTCAGCCAAAGCTCCGCCTTTTACTGCCTTACGTTGTACAAATTTCAGGTCATAGGCTGCGAGCACTGACACCCACTTAGCCATCTTACAGTCTAGAACCGGCCTCTCCATAAGGAATTTCAAGGGGTTCGAAATTTCCAAGGGGTTCGATTCAGAGATTAACGTGTGTAGTGTAAAAGACGAGAGGTAGTGTTGCAGCTTGGTACAGGCCCAGACTAGAGCCAGGCACAACTTTTCTATCTTGTTGTATTTCAACTCATATTCCAGCATCCTCTTACTGAGGTAATACACGGCGTTTTCTATCCTTGTATCTTCTGCTTGTTGAGCTAATATGGCCCCCATTGCTTCTTCTGTTACCGACAAGTACAGTAGCAAAGGCTTTCCTAGCCTTGGTGGTTGTAAGACTGGCGGGGATAGCAGGTATTGTTTGACTTGGTCAAAGGCCGCCTGACAATCCTCATTCCATTTGACTGCCACTCCTTTCCTAAGTAGCTTGAAAATTGGGCCACAGGTATCGGCCAACTGATTGATGAAACGACTAATGTACTGTAACCTTCCCAAGAAGCCTCGGACTTCTTTTTCTGTCCTTGGTGCTGGCATTTCCAGAATAGCTTTGGCTTTCGAAGGGTCAATCTCTATGCCCTTCCGACGAACCATATGCCCCAGAAATACTCCGGATGTGGCTCCAAACAGACATTTTGCCGGGTTGAGCTTCAAATTATACTTTCGAAGTCTAAGGAAGAACCGAAGTCTAAGGAAGAACTTCTCAAGTGCAGTCGTATGTTCTTCGGTTGTTTTCGACTTAACCACCATATCATGCACATACACTTCCACCTCTCCGTGAATAATGTCGTGAAAGATGGTTGTTGCCATTCTTTGATAGGTTGCCCCGGCATTTTTGAGCCCGAAGGGCATGAACCTATAGCAGTAGGTTCCCCATTCTGTGATTTCCGTGATGAATGCCGTCTTCTTCTTTGTCTGGCAAAATGCAATCATTAATTTGATTGTACCCGACCAGCAAGAATCGGTCAAGAGAACATCTCTGTGTCCAGCCATTCGATCACCAGTAAGTTCAATATGTGGCCAGTGGGAAAAATCATCCTTCGGGCAAGCTTTTATTCAAAATTCCTGTAATCCACTAGCACATTCGCAACCTTTCCATCCTTCCTTACGGCAACCGGCACGTATGTTCGCTAAACCATGGTCGGGTAGGCAATAGGTTCTATGAACTTGTTCTCCACAGGCTTGCTTGGCACTTCCTCCTTGATTTTCAAGGACCATTCCTGTCTTTTAGCCTTCTAAAGCTTCTGTTTCACTGGCTTAGCCTCAGGGTATACGGAATCTTATGCACCACTATTGCTTGGGTCGATTCCCGTGATGTCCATGCCTTCCACATGAAGCAATCACAAATTTCTTCAAAACATTACTGACCCTGTTCCCTGTTCTTGCAATCGATGCAATTTGTACTGTATGTTCATTTTCCTTCTTTGCAATTTTATTTTTTTTCCTTTTCATTTTTTATTTCATTTATTTGATTGTTTTGCTTGGAAATGCTTGGAAAGATAGACAGAGCAGGGTAAATCGAGAATTTTGCCAAGCTTTATTAATTTGACGGAATCGTCTTCAAAGAATACAATAAATTTGACATCTGGATCTTCTAGATCCGACACACCAGATGACTCGGACTGGAACTAAACTCTGAATCGGTTTCAGACTCGGGGTCAGATCGCGGACTCAAGTAACAGGACTTTATTATAGACTCCGGTATTATAGGTTTTGAACTCGGGAGGGGGTTTACTTCAGCAGTGCGCTCCTCCTCGTGTTACCAGCTTGTGAGAAGTCCTTCGTTCGGGCTTGATCAGATCTAGCAAGGGCTCTCGATTCCCGTCATTTCCTGTAATGACCTGCAACCTCAATCAAAAAGAGACTAGGCCTGCATGAAGTCTTCCACTTCTAGTTCAGTTACTGTTTCGGGCTCTTCAGATACAACGCTTTTTAGGTCCGGATACAGATGTCCATTCATTTCTAGGAACAGTTCGAAAGGATCGATCAGTTCCTGGTCAGCCATAATAGCATTTACCCCGTGATTTGATAGGGGTTGGTGCTAATGTTGGGCTTAACTTCTTGGGATGATTGAACCGTCCTCTACTCCAGGTCCTTTGGATGCGGTTTCTTAAGCGTCACACGCTTCAGTCTGTGCCCGTTACCCCTGATTGGTACTGCACAGTATTCATCAGCCTCTGTAGTCCTTCGTAATGGGTTTGGTGGCATGGCTTCCAAAGGCTTGATGTAGTTTGCCTTGAACAGCCTCTCGGAATACGAAGATTGGCATCTCCGAGTCAGTAAACTGTTCTTCTCGATTGACTGCCATTTCCCTCATATTTCCCACATGTAAAGGAATTCGTGTGGGTGAAACGCTTTGCCACTTCATGGACTTTGCTAGATTGCTATGTTTTTTAATATTTTTGAGGTCCCCGAAGTCTTCTTTCAGCTTGCCCCATCGAAGTAAATCCTCTAACACTTCGTAGCACGGTAATGAGCGACTGGAATGTTGGTAGGTACTGGGCTTTGTAATTGGTTGTTGGTAACTAGCGTCAAGGCTATTGATTATTTATGTTCACCTGTTCTTGCAAGGCCGGTTGATCATTTGGGCGACCTTGGTCCTTTTCCTCGTAAGGAACGAGGGAAAGGGTTCATTGTTTTTCTTTTTGGTGGTTTCCAGTTTTTTACTCGTTTTCTGAGCTTCCGGCTCAGAAGTAGTTTTGGAAGGCACATCAT